AAAAAAAAAGATCATTTGCTGTTAATTGTCACAAGATACAAGATGGTGATAAGTTTCTGTTAAGAATAATAAGAGTTTGTAGTCCAGAAATATTGAATGAAATAAAAAGCTCAATGATAGAGTACTATAGACCTTAAAAAAGTTGCACTAATCAACAAAAAAATAGGAGCTAATAGAAATCGGGTTTGATGTGAATAGCTTGAGGCAAAATTCAAAAACAAACCTCTATAAATGAAAAAAAAAGATTGACAAAGAAAACTAAAGCTCATAGTCAATAGGGCAACCATATATATGATAGGCTTAGACAAAATTGTTTGCAATGTCTCTTTGCTCTGTTCTCAATTGTGCAAGCAAGAGTAGTACATGTAAGGGGGCAGTATCAATGCATGACATGAATCAGAGTTAGGCTTCGTTGGGACAGATTTCTTACTGTTTCTTAAAGCAACTTTCTAGTATTAAAACTTTAATTTTTAAATTAGAAAGCCGCTTTAAGAAGTAATAAGAAAGCCGTCTCAAAAGAAGCCTTAGTTTGAAAAATAATAACTAGATCAAACAATGAAAGTTACTAAAAAGATAATGCATGATATGAATAAATAATTAATAAGGAATGAGTAATTCTGTTCACAAATGAGAGACCATAAGCAGAGGATAAAATTGGATTGAAACATAAAAATCATTGCACAACAATCCAAATAGCTTTTAGACTTCACAAGATTAGATCTCCAATAGAGATAGGCCAAGATTTTATCATTTTATTAAAGTGACAAGCTAATCGTTGATCGTAGGTAGCAATCTTGAGTGAACTTGCATCATGTGTTTATGAAATAAATTTAAGATGATAATAAATACTTGCCCTCATTATTATCCATACTAAAGTTAATTCCCACCGCTGCCACAAAGCCAATGCTCAACATTTACTAAAATGTTGATTCCAGTTTGCACCACCGTTGTGATTGTCCATCATCACTATCAAGGCTTAGTGCCTTCAATTCACCTCTTTGATATTTTTAAAGATTCAATTCAAAGTCTCTTTATCCATCATAGAATTCATCTTATACAATTCACTTATATTACATTTAATAAATAACTTCTCTATTTATGATGAAGGATATTCTTTATAACATATGAATCAAATTGTTCGAATCATTTCATCAAGCTTAAACCTCGTGATTTTTCTCCTGCATTTTTTACGTAAAAATCCCATATCCCATATAAGTTGCTCCCACCTTTATGTTACTTTTGTTTGCATAAGATCTTCATATAATGTTAAGATGATAAAGTATTTTTCTACTATTGCAATTGTTCCAGCACTCAATAGTTCGGTGTCATCTATGAGAAATAACTCTAGAATAGGGTCAAACTTGGATATAGCCTCAAAAAGATATTAACAATTGTTTGTCCATGGGGTACTAGATTAGAGATTTGTTTTGCTAGGGAAAAAAAATATATCCATAACCAGGCTTTGTTGGAGTAGAGTGGCGCTACCTATCTAGGAACTATGATAAAAAAAAAAAAATTATCCATAACCAGGCTTTTCATCGAAGCCTCAATCTTCTTTAAAAAAAAAAAAGTTTATTGTCTCCATTTAGATAGGCTGAATTCTAGGTATCAAAGGCTCTTTTATCTTGTAACAGAGCTCGATTTTCCTCTTTAAAGTGGTTGATAATTTCCGTAGAATTGATGGAATCTGATAAAAAATCACAATATTGGGACTATTTGTGTGCTAAAGCCAAAGAGATTCAGGGTTGCATTTCTTTTTCTGTGATTGCCAACAGCAATCTTTCTTTCTTTTGGGACCCTTGGTGTGGGGGAAATTCGGTTGCTGACTACGTAGATAATGCAAACTCTTATTTCAGTTTTTCCTTTCTTTTTGACTGGAAAGTTTCTCTGTTGATCCAAGAGGATTGCTGGAAAATTCCCACTTGCTTTGACAGTCAAATTGCTGCACGGATCAATTCTGTTAAAATCAATTCTGAACCAGAGAACCATTTCTGGATAAATACCCAAAATCCAAGCTTTAAAGATTTCAACTCCCATTTTTATGCTAATGAGATTGCTGTTCCTTGGCATAAATATATTTGGCACAAGAATAATGCCTTGCGTTTTTCTGTATATGCTTGGATGATGTTTCATGGGGGATTAAAAACTGCTGATGTGCTTGCTGTTCGTGGAATTGTGGTTCCTAGCATATGTTCCTTCTGTCATGATGATATGGAAACTATCACTCACTTCTATTTTGAATGCACCTACATTTTCGACATTGCTAAAAGGCTTTTTCCTTGGATGCATAATCTTTTTATGAGGCCAAACTTCTACCAGGTCTTTGACAGCATTTTTGACCAAGGGTTTGATATTAAAACTAGGAATCACTATCTTCTTATCGCCTCTGCCATGATCAACTTTGTTTGGAGAGCGAGAAATGACAGACTTTTCGGTAGCATTATTGACAGCAAAGCCACAATCATTGCTAAAATCAAAAAAGCTGTGCTGATTAAAGCTTTGAAATGGAAAAAGTAAGAATTTCTGAATTCTGGTGGTGGAGAGAAGCTGTTTCTCTCGGTTCTTGCTTGAAGACTATTGTTCTGATGCTAGTGCAGAAATTAGTTTTTGGAATTTTGGAGAATCTTCTGGTCATGCTGTATGCTGGGGAATTCATTTTTGACAGGACGATGATGAACGCTAATCTTTTTCAGCAACATCTTGGACGGCCTTTTTGGCAACCAGAGGCCATGCTCCATTTAGCCCCAGCGGAGATTTTTGACCCTCTCGAGAACTTGAGCATATTTCTGAGTCCTTGGCTCCCATTGCCAACTTTTTGCTTCTTTTCCAAACGTAATTTTCTTCTTTAGAGTCCATAATCTCTTTTTGTTATGTGAGATTGCTGGACTATAGTTTTGTTCTTTTCTTACTTGTAATCTTTTTTTAGCAATGAGATGGGCTTATGTCCCAAAAATTCCCCAAAAAAAAATTTCTTTGTGATCGATTAACTTCAAAGTTTCTTGAATATTGTTAAATCAATGTTCAAAATTTGATCGGTCCTTAAATAAATCATTTTCAAATCTTATTCTTATATTTTTTTAAAAAATTTCTTAATTAAGCTTAAATAATCAATTAAGGTTCGAAAAATGTTCAATTAATTAGATTTGTGGAAATTTTGAAGACAAAATATTTGAGTTTTACGATGTATACATCAAACCTCTTACAATATCTATTGAATGATCCTAGAAAATTAATATGATGGAATGAATCTCGAGGCATATTTGAGTTGAAAGTTTTAAAATTAAATTCAAGATCATCCTATCAGATTTTCAATTTTAGCAATTTTTTAGTCGAATTGACTTGATGAAACAAACCCATCACTGCTACAAATGATCGTATCTGACTCAAACTAAGTTCAAATCAAGCACTTCTTAAATTTGGAAGCTTATAAATATAAATCCGTCAATTGTTCCCAACATAATTCATTCTTCTTTAATATGAGGAATTGAGGATTTTTGTATCTCCTATTTTACAATGAATTATTACAACTGGGTCGGGACTGCTGCTTTTTCCTTTTTCGGATTTTTCACGTAAAAATTTATGATCTCCTATAACTTTGTATAGCACGTAACATCTACATAAAGAGATGCATTATACTCAATATTTTGTATAATGATATAATATTTAGTCTTATTAAATTTGTAATGATCATTATTTCATGAATTTGTTGTTGAAAATCAATGCAAAGTTGGGCATTTTGATAATAAGTATGTCATCCCAAGCAGACCAACTTACTACCATATCTTGCTTGATGAGAATGGTTTGAATCCTATATATCTTCAAGAATTTACATATTCACATTTCTTATATGTAAATTGTGCTAATTAATGATGAGTATTATCAATTAAAAAAAAATTAATTTCAATGTTATTCTAAATTTGCTTTATTTATTAGTAATATAAAATATCAACAAAGCATACCTGTAATATTTTCAAGAAGTTACTCTTGATCACATACAATTACAAAGGGAACATTTTTGTTAACTTTTCATTAATTCATCAAACATACATTATGATGTCATGTTATCTTTGGAATTATAATATATTATATTATGGTTGTTTATGAAATTCCTAGATGCGCCAAGAGGGGGGTGAATTGGATGATTAAAAAACTTCTTTAATGAAAAGAAATATCTTTTTATGACTTTATGCGGAAGCGAATTTCATTAACAATAAAAAGATAGATAATCAAATTCATCCACGCAATTAACCACAATAAAAATAAATGCGAAAATAAAGTGCAGAAAAACTAAAGGAAAGAACACACCAATTTATAGTGGTTTGGTCAAACGATGACCTACGTCCACTCCTCGGAGGCACCCTCCGAGTATTACACTAAACCTTTAGTGATTCTACTTTAGCTCTCACAGCTAGGCGGAGAAGCCCTTACACAATCACTTCCACCTTCCCCGGTGCGGCGGAGGAGCCGGGTCCTTTGACACCAATGAGATCTTCTTCTTCCCAAAACTTCCTTCAAGACGAACCTTGAATCTGATGGTACTGTGGTGCAAGCTCGCCGGAGCAACCGTGTGATCTCCTTCACACTCCCTTGAAACCCCCTCCAAGGATCTTCTCCCTCTCTCAAACTTCACCTTTTCCTCTCTCCCTTTCAAGTCCTCTCTTCAAGTTTTCTCCAAAAGAACAAAGACACAATGGCTGCCAAAAGACACTTACAAAGATTTATAAGAGTGCTTAAATAGAGGGCTCAAAAACCCTAAAAAAACTCAATTCGAGCGTCAAATATCGTACCGTACGATCTCAAGATCGTCCAGTACGATGTGCAAAAATTAACCTGTTAGTACTGTACGATGTCCAGTTAGTACTGTACGAACAGTTCAATAAAAGGGCATTCCGCCAAAATTGTCTCTGTTGATCGTACAGTACGATCCAGTTCGTACGATACGATCAAATCATCAAAATTAAGCCGTTCTTATTGAATAATCAGCGGATTAAATTAGGCAATTTTTTAAACATCGTACAGTACGATTAGGATCGTACAGTACGATTCGAACAACTTTTCAAATTCAAATCTTTGCCTAATTTAATGGATGGCGATCTTTCTAATTATAACAGATCGTACAGTACGATGTGATGATCGTACAATTCGATTAGTTATATTCAAAAATAATTTTTTTCAGGAAAAATAAAATATTTTAATTTATTTCTGTTACACCATATCGTACAGTACGAAATAAATACGTACAGTACGATGAACAGAAAAGTTAAAATATTTATTATCATTTTTTGCTCCCTCTGTGTTTGTACATGATCAACAAACTAACATACGTCATTACAATACTTGACTCAATAAATGAAAATTACAGACTCATTTAATACGACCAATTCTATGCAATCTTGAGCCTTGAATCTTCGAAGAACGGTGCATGATGTACCTGAAATATTAGTCAACATAGAAAGACATATGCACTGCAAATACTAGGAGAAATAAAAGATTAATAAATATTATTTGTTATCATCAAAATCATAAACTCGGAAGCCCGAGTTGCAACAGTTTATTATTATTATTATTATTATTATATATACTTGATTTTCTTCAACTTCGACAAACCCTTATGTTGGATCTATTTTTTTGCTAAAGATTTCACTCATGTTATTAGGTGTCACTGTCGACAATCATAATGTAGGAGAAGGAATATCTTAGGTTTTTTTCTTTTTTGGGACATTTAGGCCATATAAGGCAAACTCACCACACAACGCATACACATAGACTCGAACCTTGGACCTCTTAGTTGGAAGCCTAAGCTCTCAACCAATAGGCCAAGGAGAGTTGTGTGGAATATCTTAGGTTTTATTTGGGACATGTTTTTACTATTTTTTAATGCAGTTTTCTAGTACAAAAAATTCTTCAACTAGAAATTGTTGTACTAGAAAGCTGTTTGAAGAAGTAGTTTAATCTCAAGCGAAGCCTTAGCCTTCCCCTGAAAGGGTCATAATCATACATACCAAATTCATAGCCAACATATATTATCACAACATAAATAGCTTAGACAATGTACAATTTAAAGAGATTAGAATTGAGCAATTACTTTTTCTTTTTTACAGGACTATGCCAAAAATGCCGACCATCCCCAATTTCGTTGCTCTACGTTACCTACAATGTTAATGCACATTGTCGATATAAACATTGATACCTTTCAACTTCATTGCTTGTAATTGCTAACAGTGTTGATTCATGTCACCTATATGTCTTATATATGTTATAGACATGAACATTAAATATTGATGTCAATATCAAAATTTATAATTATTTTTTGGTCTCTAAATCTCTAAGCTCCTCTTCTTAAAAAAGAATGATTAAACATAATACAAACAATCTCTTAAAAAAATAACTCAACTTCTTTAGGCTCCTCCAACTTTTACCATATAATCAAGGGGTGTCAATTTAGGATCATGGGTCGGGTTCGGGTCGAACCCAGAACTGACCCAGGTTCAATCGGGTCGACCCTAACCCGACACGAGTAGGCAAACGGGTCAAAAACATGGATCCGAACCCAACCCGACACGGGACGCGAGCTCCGGCGCGCAGGAGAGCCGATGCAGGCCCGCGGTGGAATCGGGTGCGCGGCGGGTTCGTGGATGCGGGCGAGCACGCGAGTAGGGCGGGTGCGCTACTGACGCGGGCGCGCTGCTAGAGCGAGGGCAGGCGCGGACGCGTAGCGGGCGCAACTTGGGAGCGGGTAGCGACAGCTGTGCGGTGCGGCACGGTCAGCATCGGGCAGGGCGCGGACAACATTGGCAGCCGCGCGGGCAGCAGCGGGTAGCCGGGACAGCCTTGGGCAGCTCATTCTAAGCAGGTTTTCGGGTTGACCCACCAACCCGTTGGGTCAACCCGAACCCGACCCGTTTTGAAATCGGGTCGGTCTGGGTCAGATTTTCATGTCGTGTCAAATATTGACACCCCTAATAATCATTAATTAATTTACAATTCATATATACTATATTATAGTAATACCTTCATCAATTACAAAAAATGCACCATATGTAATCCACAACATATATTAATAAAAATATTTCAATCGAGTCAGATCTCAAAAAAAAAAAAAATTATCAATATAAATTCTTTCACTCCCTCTCCTTTGTCCCCATGCAAAACCTCACTGCTCAGTTTACCTGTGACCAATTTAACGCTGGAGCCCCCGAATGGTCCCTTTCGTTGGTAGGATACTCGATCGGGAAACGGCCTTTTTATGAAGCACTCCTTTCGGTGATCAAAATGACGTGGCAGATCCGTGGTTCTCTTTCTCTACTCACTATGGATGAGGGCTTTTTCCTGCTGAAGTTCTCGGCTATTGAAGATTACGAGCATGCATGGATTGGAGGACCTTGGTTCTTCTTTGGGAAACCTTTCATACTGCAGAAGTGGACTCCGGATTTCATCCCTAAATGTGAGGAGTTCCCTTCTATCCCACTTTGGATTGAAATCTTGAACCTGTCGCTCTCACTCTGGACTCCGGAAGATATTTCTAAACTCGCTAGCTGTGTTGGTATACTTAGTGCCGTTGATGCTCTCACTGCGGCAAAGACTCGTTTTACTTTTGCGAGATTTTGTGTTCAAATTACCAGCAATTCTCTTCTCCCGATGAAATCTACTACTGTGAAGATGGAAAATCCTCCCCCCTAAGAATACAATACAACTGGAAACCTGAACGTTGCTAGCAATGTGGTTCAATCATGCACCCCCTACCCTCTACCCAAAAGACCCAATCTTAAAACCACAAAATGTCTCAAAAACGAGAGGCCGCAGCACCAGCCGCAAACCCCGACAAACTCCCCCTCCCAGACTTTTAATC